GCAGGTCTAGCCGTTCCGAAGATACGGGGCAAAAAGTGCCGAAAACGGTAACTCAGTTTTTAAGAGAACGGAGCGTCCGATTTGAATAATTCAAAAAACATTTCACTTGTATTGAAAAGATGAAGGATCGATAAAATTTTCATGAAGGTAGGTCTAGCGGTTTCGGAGATATGGAGGAAAAAGTAAAAAAATGAGCCATTTGGCGGTCAAAAATGATCATTAGAGATATGCACATCAAATTATCAGATATTTTATAGAGATTTTAACAATATGTATACATTTTGTTAACATTCCTATGGGTTCCGTACCAATGCTTATGCGTTAGACAGCGACGCGGCGCTTACGCGCTTTATATTTTGTCCCTATGCAGTTAAAGCAGTACGATTGCTTTGAAAAAAAGTTCAGATCTTCCACAATATGTCAAAATAAAGAAAAAAATTTTTTTCAAAAAAAAAACAAAAAAAAAATTTTTAAAAAATTTTTTTTTTAAAAAAAATTTTTTTCAAAAAAAAGTAATTTTTTGCCCAAAGTAATTTTTTTTTCAAAAATGTTAATCGTTTTTAAAAAAATAATAATTTTTGGTACGGGAAGTTCCAGCAATTTGCCTTAAGGCACGATGCCCTAATTGCCTTAAGACAGAATTCCACTTACAGCTAGTTTTTCGATAGATTTTAATTTGGTAAGTAATGAGGTATTATAAGGCTGACGGTAAATAATTTGAGATGGGTTTGTATTGTCAGGTTGTTCATTGTAAAAATGAAAGCCTTCTATAGCTCGATAATAAATTTTCATAAAAAGAATCAATTGGGGATTCATTGAAGGTAAAAAAATTTTTAGAATTAAACAATCAATTTACTTTTATAGTAGATTTCAATTTCCTGATTTTCTTATTAAATAACAACCAAATGCATTTTTTTGAAAGTAGAATTATTTTGAGTAAAAGAGTACTCAAAAAATAAGAAAAGATGAATTACTTTTTAAAGTTATTATAAATGAATAATTTGTAACTCTTAAGTAATATAAGGGTTAAAATAAATTTTTCGCTCTTTGGACTAACTATTTATCATAAAACAAAATTTATGTAATTAACCAAAAACATTCACAAATCTCACATACAACTTTAATACAAATTAAAGAAGTAAATATAAAGTTTTATTTTATTTAAATTTGATACATTTATATTTTTTAAAGTGGTTTATAAACATGTAACTGGTTTAAGATAAAATCAAAATGTCTTTAATAACAAGAGAAACATAAACTTAATATTTATTGCTTAAAAAAATTTAAAAGTGAATTGGATTGTTTTATTTAAGTAGAAAATTTATTTTTGCTCGTGAAAGCAATAATTTTAATATTCTTCTTTTAGTTATGAGATATTTTATTAACTTGAACCACATTTAAACTTTAAATAAGAGCTTTAAAAGGATCCGCGCATTTTCGACTACGGTATCTAAAAAAGGAAAATTATAGGATAAAATTTTTGTAATAAACATCTAAAGGAATAAAGAATAAAATTTTTGTAATTAACATTTAGAAAAACGGTTAATTAAAGGAAAAAAATATTTGTAGAATATTTTTAAAAAAAATTTATTGACATGAAAAAAAAGCATCCTTATAATTAAACAATATAAACTCAAAAGACTTATTAGAATAAGTAAAAGAGGAAGTGATAAGTTATCTAGTGTTTTTCATAATCTTGTATCAATGAATAAAGCCAGGAGATACTAGTGATGCAAGGATGGATCATTCTGCGGAAAAATGCATACAGATCTCTTGTATGGTTAAGCAAAATTAGTACACAGCCTTAGTTTAAATATACACAAGGTAAACAAATAAATTAAGCAGACTCATATTCAATTTAATGCTCTATACAATAAATAATTTATCAGAGATACAGTGTTTAATAGATTAATAAAAACCTTTCAAACATATTGAATGCAAAATAAATCTTTAATATGTCAGTGAATTATATCAAATTTATATGAAAGAATTAGATATCCTCAACGAAACAAAAATTTTGACAAAAGGTAAACGTTTTTACTATGATACAGTTGTTTTAACTTTTAACTGAGCCATAATTCCAACAACTATACACTCAAGCAATTTGTTCTAGGGCATTACAATGCTAGACATTATTATAAGTTATGTAATTTTGCACAATTTCGCCAAATACCTCATTCAAATTACTGTAACAGAGAAATAAGAAGAAAATGCATTATACTACAAATTGTCTTACTATATGCAGTACAGCGGGTCTAAAGCATCCTTTATGACGTCATATGGTAAAAATGCATGTGGGGTATCAAATGAAAGGTCTCGACAAGCACAATACGAATATCATACTTACGAACTCAAAAAGCCATTGGGGTTCCATATACTTTATATTTAACTACAATTGAACACTTATATTCAATTCTTAGCTCTGTTTAAAGTACACCGAGTTGTTTCAGGATGTTATAATATTAGGCAATATTGTATATTAGTCAATGTTTGATAAATTTGCCGAAAATATCATTTAGATTGATCGAATGGTTTGAAAGTTACAAGAGGTGCAATATAAAATGCACAAGCAAGATTCGCATTGCGTTGTACTATATACACTACAGTGGGTCAAAAAAAACAAAATGGCGTCATATGGTAAAAAATCATGTGGGGTATCAAATGAAAGGTCTCGACGAATACTTTACTAAAATCATACTTACAGGTCTTTAAAAACAACCGGGTTTGCGTACCTTAAAATTTAATTGGATAACAAGATTCATTTTTAAAATACTTTTCCAATATTGTAATTATATTATATTATAGCATATAATATATTTCTTAAATATTAATAATGTCATTATACAGTATATAGTAGTTTTACCCTCAGGGCTCGCACTATTCATCATGTTACCTTTCAGAGTATATTTTCGCATCCTTAACAACATACACGATGAAGAGAGGGATGCTTTAAAATTGATTTTCTTAATGCACCCCGACAAAGAACGAACGATATAGATATTTTATATAGAAAATTGTATTCTCTACTTACATTACAGCCTCCCAAAGCTATAGCTGTCGATAACAGGATAAGATAGAAAAACTATCTTATGGCTTATATAGCTTTTGTTAAGAATTCATAAAGTATATTATTACGAGTGTAACATGAACTATTTTTTTATAAGGGTCGTCGTCTAGACTATAGTGTCGCCGGACTAAGATGTAGGTGGTCTAAATTAGGTGGTCTAATGTCATTCACAGTTCAAGTGCTAGATGCATTTGTAACATAAGATATTTTTTATTTTTTGATGTTAGTTATATGTCTGGACTATCTATATCGGCGTCGATAATTTTATTTATGAGTCTGCAAATGCCTTCAGATAATTTCCAGGACTCATCCTTCTCAGATATTAAGTCCGAGAAATCATCCTCCGTATATGTAGAAATTAATGTAACCCGCCTCTTACGGGCGGGGCTAATATTGTTAATTCTAATTTTTAATAATTTTTATTTAGTATAAGTTTAGAGCGCAGTATAGAAACATCAACTATCTGTTGCCATTATATTCACCATATTTTCTTATAATATATATTAATTATCAAACGTCGCATTTTATTTAAATAATCACAGATCACACTAAGAGTTCTATTATACAATAGAACAAATTTAAAGGTGTAGTGTTTAGATAATTAAATCGACAACAACCTGTTAGACGTGGAAGTAATTTTTAAGCTTCGCGCCTTAACATTTGGTCCAAACGAGCCGAATATTTATCATTTGGACTTTTACAACTTTCCAAAGGACACAAATAAACAATATTAATAATTTTAAGTGATCTTTTGGACGTTCAAATAAATTAATCAACCAGCAACATACAGTCCGCTAAAATATTAAAGTAAATTATTAAATTAAAATCAAATCTATAGTGCAAATGATTAAATTTAATAATATTAATAATTCAAGTGATTAGTTTATAATATCACTAATAAAATTAATAAATTCAAGTGAGTTATTATTAAATTAAAATAAAATTAATAGAATGAGAATGATTAAATTTAATAATACCACAAATAAATGATTAAAATTCAGTGATTAAATTTAATAAAATCACAAATAAATTACTATATTCAAAAGAATAATAGTATTTCCATTATAAAATTCAATTAATAATAAATCAAATTATTAAATAAAATAAATAAGTTTAACAAAAAAGCTAACAACAAGTGTTAGCACCGCGAGGACAAAGCAAGCCGAACGGAACAGCTGAGATTCTACAACAGTTAAGAAAGTTAGTGGATAGCTTCAATAAAAATTTACGTTGTTTAGAAGCGTTAGGTGAGCCTGTCAATAATTGGGATTCATTGATTATATATTTAATGTTAAGTAAGGTGGATTCGGAAACTCGTCGCGAATGGGAGCTATCCAACAATAAAAGTTCGGACATTTCAAAATTTTCCGATCTGGTAAAGTTTCTGGATTATCGGTGCCAGGTTTTTGAATCGCTCCACTATGATAAGGTTCCAAGTATCAAATCCCATAAACAAGTGCCATTAAGAACTGACAGAATTACAAAATCATATGCGATCTCGAACGCAATGCAATGTGTATTATGCAAGAAACGTCACTTATTATTCAAATGTGAGGATTTTAAAAAACTAACAGTGAAGGAGAGAATATCGCGAGCAAATCAATTAAATGTATGTACTAATTGCTTAAATACAAATCACCATATTGATAATTGCCCAGCTTCATTTCGTTGCGTAGTTTGCCACGAAAAACATAATACCCTGTTGCATTGCGAAGAGCCATCGAAAAAACCCTCAAATGATGCTGTACCTAGCACATCATTTTTTAGTAATGAAATTAAATCACACGTCTTACTTTCGACAGCGGTCATATCAGCATTGAATAAGAACGGCGCTTGGGTTCCAGCTAGAATCTTGTTGGATAGCGGTTCACAATCTAATTTTATAACGCAGGAATTTTCAAAAAAACTTTCTTTAAAATCACAACCGATAAAGATGTCCGTTTCAGGTATTAGTCAATCTTTATCGGATGTTAGTCACAAAACAGAAGTTTCGGTTAAATCAAATATAAATTCGTATTCAAGCAACATATCATGTTTAATTTTAAAGTCAATAACAAGTCATATGCCTTCGGTTTCGTTTTCAACAAACATTTTGAAAATTCCTCCCGGTATAAAATTAGCCGATCCAAATTTTAATATCAGTGGTAGGATCGATATGTTATTGGGAGCAGATTTATTAAATTGCCCAAGACTAACACGATCTTGCAAAATACTGCATTAGGGTGGATTATTTCGGGAACAATTCAATCACATGATTTAACAAATAAAACGTTTTGTAACTTCTCAGAAATTTCAATTTTAAATAACAATGTAGAAAAATTTTGGGAATTAGAGAAAGTTGAAAATGCAAATTGTTTTAGTGATTGTGAATTAGAATGTGAACGTCATTTTGTGGCACATACTAATAGAAATTTTGACGGACGATTTGTCGTTCGAATACCTTTTAAATATAATAAAATTGAATTAGGAAATTCGAAACAAATTGCATTGAAACGATTCGCTCTTCTCGAAAAACGTTTTAAGGCTAATACAGAATTGTTCAAAGAATATAAAAACTTCATAGATGAATACCTAAAATTAGGTCATATGCGAGAGGTTAATGAATTTCGAGAACCAACAAACGCTTATTATTTGCCTCATCATCCGGTGATTAAAAAGGAAAGCTTAACCACCAAGCTGAGGGTGGTATTTGACGCCTCATGTGAGACAAGTAACGGTCGGTCACTCAATGACTTACAAGCAGTAGGGCCGACGATACAAAAGGATATCTTTTCCATTCTCTTAAGATTTAGACGGCACAAGTACGCTTTGACAGCTGATATCGAAAAGATGTATCGGCAAGTTATAATTCACAAGGATGATAGGAAGTTTCAGAGAATATTTTGGCGCGATAATTCTAATGATTCTATAAAATGTTTCGAATTAAATACGGTAACGTACGGTACAGCATCTGCTCCATTTTTGGCCATAAGATGTCTTGAACAATTGTGCAAGGAAAATTATGAAACTTACCCCATTGAATGTGAAATAATTAGAAAGGATTTCTATGTAGATGATCTAATTACCGGAGCAGATACTCTACCGCAGTTAAAAACTATAAAGCAAAATTTATTAAAAATTTTGAATCAAGCCAAGTTTAATCTACGAAAATTTAATAGCAATCACGTAGCCTTTCAAAGTGAAGATTATATCGTAAATTTCAGCGAGAAACAAATTAAAACTTTAGGGATGGTATGGAATTCGTACTCTGATAAATTTGCATATACAACAGACAGCATCACTATAAGTAATAAAATCAGTAAGAGGACAATATTAGCCACTACGGCTCAAATTTATGATCCATTAGGCCTGTTAGCGCCAGTAGTTATAATTCCAAAATTAATCATGCAAGAGTTATGGAAGTGCAAATTATCATGGGACGAAGAAGTACCATCAAAAATAACCAAAACATGGTCACAATTTTGTAATAATTTAAAATTTATCAATAACATCAATATTAATAGACATATGTATTTGCACCATCCTATCATTTGTGAATTACACGGATTTGCCGATGCATCTGAAAGCGCCTACGGTGCTTGTGTATACATAAAAACTATTAATAATAACATGGATTGCTCAGTACATATTGCAGCGGCAAAATCGCGGGTTGCTCCGTTACGAAACATCACATTGCCGCGTTTAGAATTATGCGCGGCTCATTTATTATCAAAATTAGTTAATAAAGTTAAAGATAATTTAGAAATTTCCATTAATCGCGAAATGCTTTGGAGCGATTCAAAAATAGTACTAGCATGGATTAAATCGCCTTCCCGCAAGTGGAAAACGTTTGTTGCTAATAGGGTTTCGGAGATCCAAACCAATACGGATCCAAACAATTGGTACCATGTTAGATCAGAAGATAATCCTGCCGATTTAATTTCGCGAGGAATGTTACCGGAAGTATTAATTAATTCAGATTTGTGGTGGTTTGGTCCATCTTGGTTGAATACCACTGACAAACTTTCTTTTGGCGCAGATTTCATATCAGAAACCGAAGAAGAAATTAAACATGTTTCGTTAACAGTAATAGAACAAACCACAACTAATATATTTAATATGTATTCATCATATACAAAGTTAGTTATGGTCATTGGATATTGTGTTCGGTTCCTTAAAAATTGCAAGAACAAGGCCAAGAACAAGGGCGACTGTATCCACGGTGAATTAAAAACCACCGAAATTAATGATGCTCGCGTAAGATTAATTAAATTAGCACAACGTGAAAGATTCAAAAATGAAATAGAGTCTCTATCAAACCACGAGCCAATAAAAACTAAATCAGATTTAAAATCTCTCAACCCATTTTTAGACGAAAACGGTATTTTGAGAGTTGGCGGTAGAATAAAGTTGTCTGACTTAGGTTACGATAAGCGTCACCCAATGGTTCTACCTAAAAATCATGCACTTTCATCATTGATTGCCAGATATGAACATATCAAATCTTTTCATTCTGGAGCGCAACACTTGTTACATACGCTCAGAGAGACATATTGGCCAATCAACGGTAGAAATCTGTGTAAAGGTATTATACGAAGATGCGTTATCTGCTTCAAGGTTAATCCTACTTCTACTTCCCCATTAATGGGCGATTTACCAAAAAACCGCGTCACTCCCCATTTGCCATTCACGAATTGCGGCGTGGACTTTGGAGGTCCGATTATGTTGAGAGATCGTCGTACTAGAGGGTATAAAAAAATTAAAGGGTATATATGCTTATTTATTTGTTTTAGTACGCGAGCCATTCATTTAGAACTGGTATCGGATTTAACATCAGAATGCTTTTTAGCTACACTCAGACGATTCATCGCACGTCGGGGAAAACCCACTAACATTTATTCAGACAACGGAACAAATTTTGTCGGGGCATCGTCGGAAATTAAAAGATTAGCTAATTTTTTGCGCAAAACTAACCTTAGCAATGTTATGAAATCATTAAGTGACGACGGCATCAATTGGCATTTTATTCCTGCTAAATCACCCCATTTTGGAGGTATTTGGGAAGCCGGTATAAAATCATGTAAGTCGCATTTAAAGCGAATTTTAGGAAATGCATGCCTTACCTTTGAAGATTTCTATACAATTTTAGCACAGATCGAAGCTATTTTAAATTCCAGGCCAATTTCTCCTTTGAGTTCCGATCCTAATGATTTAAATCCATTGACTCCTGGCCATTTTTTAATTGGAAAATCCTTAACATCTATTCCCGACCCAAATGTACTTGACATTCCTGAAAACAGACTAGGACGCTACCAGCACCTGCAGCGTTTGGCACAACATTTTTGGAAACGCTGGCATAAGGAATACATTTCGGAGTTGCAGAGTAGGACAAAACGCACAGGCCGTGCAAACCAATCATTAAAGGTCGGAACCATGGTACTTCTCAGAGAAGATAATGTACCTCCACTGAATTGGCAATTAGGTCGCATTATCGAGGTGCATCCAGGACTAGATAAGGAAGTGCGTGTAGTGACAGTGAAAGTTCAAAATAACGTTTTCAAAAGAGCTGCCACTAAGGTTTGTGCTTTACCCATTGATAATGAACACAATCATGTGAATTAATAAACTAAGTGAAGTGTACAAAATAATAGAACAGAACAATTTATGACAAACAATTTAATACAATTTAATAACTTTCAATTAGTGACATGAGTTAGTGAAGTTTAAATTACTTTTTTTTAATTACTTATATTATTAGGCTTATAATTAATGTATCTTTAGTTTCGAAATAATATTAGTATTATTTCAAGGTGCCCGCCATGTTAAGAATTCATAAAGTATATTATTACGAGTGTAACATGAACTATTTTTTTTATAAGGGTCGTCGTCTAGACTATAGTGTCGCCGGACTAAGATGTAGGTGGTCTAAATTAGGTGGTCTAATGTCATTCACAGTTCAAGTGCTAGATGCATTTGTAACATAAGATATTTTTTATTTTTTGATGTTAGTTATATGTCTGGACTATCTATATCGGCGTCGATAATTTTATTTATGAGTCTGCAAATGCCTTCAGATAATTTCCAGGACTCATCCTTCTCAGATATTAAGTCCGAGAAATCATCCTCCGTATATGTAGAAATTAATGTAACCCGCCTCTTACGGGCGGGGCTAATATTGTTAATTCTAATTTTTAATAATTTTTATTTAGTATAAGTTTAGAGCGCAGTATAGAAACATCAACTATCTGTTGCCATTATATTCACCATATTTTCTTATAATATATATTAATTATCAAACGTCGCATTTTATTTAAATAATCACAGATCACACTAAGAGTTCTATTATACAATAGAACAAATTTAAAGGTGTAGTGTTTAGATAATTAAATCGACAACAACCTGTTAGACGTGGAAGTAATTTTTAAGCTTCGCGCCTTAACAGCTTTCCTGTACACAACATTAGCTATAACGTTACGAGACGAGTCGAAAATGTTTGTGTGTTATTCTTGCTAAAAGGTGGAAATTCATAATATTAGAGTAGAATTGTGTGTGTGTGTGTTTGTGTGTTTGTGAGTTTACATTTTAAAACCAGGGCCGGATTTAGCGAGAGGGCTTTTGAAGGTACACTTGCAAAATATCATCTCATAGTAATATTAAACCAGGAAAACAGTCACAACGTTTGGTTAGAGTTACTTAACTCTTCTGATGAGTATGAATGACAATTTTATCTTTTAGATCATGGGTCGGCAAGCTTTTAACTGTAGTGTGCCAAGCCACTCTACCAATATGTTTTAGAGTGCCGCCTTAATTTTGAAATATATAGTTAGGTTCTAGGGGAAAAGAATTATAACCAAATTTATCTTTTAAACATATTTATTAACAAATAACATGAATTTCTAATATAAACAGTGCCCGATTACCCCAAAGGCCCGTGAGACCCGGGCCTAGGGCGGCATTATTTAGGGGGCGGCAAATTTTTCAAAATGTAAAAATTTTAAACTCGATGAAATGACACGACAATTCATTTTAAGGATAGATTCAGATTTTTTTTTGTAAATTTAGAGATCATTTTCGATGGAATAGAACGTAATGCATTTTCTAATCAAATTTATTATTCGTGGGTGCCGCATTGATATTTTCTTGATGTATCATATTATCAACTTCAGAAAGGCTAAGTTATAATAATCCTAAAAAATCGTAAATAAAATTGTTTATATATCTCTACGCTTTAAGTTCTCCTGAACATTTTGACATGCCTTAGAAAAAATGGATGTATACATATTATGTGTTTATGCGGTTACAATTTTTTGCCAATTGGCATTCGGGAAGACGTGCTGATTAGTTTTTTGCAAAGACAGTTTCGGAATAGGGAGCAAAGAGTTAAAAAAATGCTGATTCAATTTTTCAAAAACGAAGCGTCCGATTTGAATAATTCAAGACACTTTTTACTTGTATGACGAAATAAGAACTATCGAAAATTTTGCGAGAGCGTGGTCAGCGTTTTTGGTGATCCAAAACGGTGTCATTTGATGATAAAAAATGATCATTGACATCAAATTATTAGATTTTTTATAAAAACATTAATTATTACAAATTTTGTCTTCATTATTTTGAATCATTCCGTACCAAGATTTTTAATTTTTTCAAAGTTTACTTCTTAGATAGTTTAAATGTCCTTTGCAAGGATCAATCGCCATGAATGATTCAAAAAATATTCGCGTACTGTTTATGCAGGCAGGTTTAGCATTTTTGGAGATACAGAGCGCAGAAGGTGCAAAGTGGTCATGAAGGTTTTGAGAGTACAGATCATTCGATTGGAATGACTAAAAAAATATTTTGTTTGTGGTATTTTAGTGATATGAAGAAATGATTAGTTTTCCGAAAAGGCAAGTCCACTGGTTTCAAAATTTTGAGAAAATTAAAATGTCTAAAATTTTCAAATAATCGAATTATTTTAGAATTTAAAAAAAAACTCGAAATTCTTGAATATCTAGGTTCTATTTATCGAGTTTAGTCCAATGTCTTTTTAATTTGTGAAATCAGTTCAGGCGTTTTTGAAAATTGAATTTTGATTTATCACATCACAAAAGCGTCTTTTAACACGAGTTTTGACTATGAAGTTTTATCAAACTTTGATAAATTTTTAAAATTGTCAAATATTTTGACTCTTAATTGATATCTTTCAGAAATCTTTTTTTAGTTTTAAAAATCGGTTTCTGGCTTTATCCCAAAAATGTAATATTTTTGCTTTTTTATGCTAATTTCAAACAACCGGCTAGTTCAATCGTCCCGCAAACCTAATCAGTCCGGCAGGTTTTTACCAAAAACTAATGAATACGATTTCCAACCAAGATTTTTCGAATGGTTTTTGAATTTTTAAAATCGACTTAAAATTGTGGGGTAAAACTTTGACGAATTTTTTCTCTCTTTTACTAATTACAAAAAAAAGCTTGGTCGACCGTTAAACCTGCCTTCCCAAAAATTTAGGTAATTATTCATTCCTTTAGTACAATTAAATTTTTTTTTAATTATTCGGAAACCAGCCTCTCGGTTCTTTCAAAAACTGAATTGCAATTTTTGCACTCGTGTTCTGTATTTTCCAAACGGCTTTGTACAAACAGGCATTCCAAACCTGTCTTAGCGAAAAACTAATGAGAACTTTCTTATCTGTGAAAATGAAACATACATACATACACACACATCAATTTTTTTAAGGTATGCCAAAATGTTTAGAAATGTCTGAAACGTAAAAATATGCAAAAATTTTCATTTTCGATCTTTTGCGATTGCTATAACTTACGAGTACTTTACGCAAAGTTAAAAGTTGTATTTAAGTAATTTAGAATAAAATTATAGTTTAATTAAAAAAGTAAAAAATTGTCTATTAAAAAGGGCGCCTGATCAGATAGAGCCTAGAGCGTCAGAAAGCTTAATCCTTGTGCCTGCACATTTTTCCTTAACATTTCAATATCCGGGGTATAATTTGTAACTTTTAATTTCACACAAGATACTGAATGTTTAGTTGTTAAACGATTTCTTTGTGAACTCAAAATATATTTCATGTGAGAAAAATTTATTCACAGAGATATGTGGAACCAAAAGCTGAAAGGAGAGCGCATACAATTTTCTTTAAACAATTAAATCTTTTCCGGCAATGTCATTCAACAATTTAATATGGCTGCCGATTTTTTCATAGAGTCATCTTCCAGATTTATTTGTAATTCCTTCAAAATATAGGCACATAAGCTTCAACATCTTTGCATCTTCTGGAAAATTCATCTTTAAGTACTTCAACGTAGGTTGAATTACATTAGCGAGCTACGTTAGAAAAATAATTATAATTAAACATTTTTTCTCATTTAAAAATCACTCAATATTTGCGATTTTCCTGATTACTTTATAGAGTGCCATTCAGAACCCCATCGGGTGCCAAGCCAAGCCTGGCACGCGTGCCGTAGGTTGCCGATGCCTGGTCTAGATGGTCTGAAAATAGTCTTAAGAGTCTGAAAATGTTCTAGATGGTCTGAAATTTTATGAATAGTACACTACAATGTTTGAAAACGTTCTAGATAGGATAGAAATAGTCTAAATAATCTGAAAAAATTCTAGATAGTTTAAAAATAGTCTTGATACTCTGCAAATGTTCTAGACACTTTGAAAATAGTATAAATAGCCTGAAAATAGACAAGATAGTTGGAAATTGCTCTAGTAGTTGGTAGTCTGAAATTGTCTAGATGGGCTCGGGCTGTAAATAGTCTAGATAGTCTGTAAATAGTCTCGAAACTCTGCAAATGTCTCAAGACAGTCTAAAACTGTCTCGAAACTCTGCAAATGTTGAACTCAGTCAGAAATTATTCACGATACTCTGCAAATTTTCTAGGCTGTCTGAAAATGGACTAAAAAGAATCTGAAAATGTTCTGAAGAGTCTCAAAATGTTCTAGGTAATCCGAATATTTTATGAATTGTCTGAAAATGTTGTAGACTGTCTAACAAAAGTCTTGGTAGCCTAAAAGTAGTCTAGGTACTATGAAAATAGTCTAAAATGTCTGAAAATGTTATAGAGTCTGAAAATTTTATGAATGGTCTGAAAATGTTGTAGACAATCTGAATATAGTCTCAATACTCTGCAAATTTTTCTCGACAGTCTGAAAATGTCGTCGACAGACTGAAAATAGTATAAGTAGTCTGAAAATGTTCTGAACACTCTGAAAAGATTCTAGGTAGTCTGAAAATGATCTAGATAGCCTTAAAATACTGTAGACAGTCTGATAATAGTCTAGCCACTCTAAAGATAGTCTAAAAAGTCTGAAAATATTCTAGACAGTCTGAAAATAGTCTCGATCATAGATAAACAAGTATAATAGATTGCTATGTCTGGCGGTTTGACGTTACCTCGATTGAAATACAAATTTTTAAAAATAGATGGCAGCACATGTATAATATTTAAATTACGCCTGGTTTTACTTCTTAATTTGTACGTACTGTATACAGCCCCAAAAACCTGAATAATTTTTAATATTGGAAATAAGAACAAATCATACGAAATACAAAATATATATTTTCAAAGATATTACATATGTTTAAAGAACAATTAAAATTATGTTTATATTAACAATTATAATTACAGTTATGGAATGTTTGAAAATATAATAATTATTATACATAATTATAAAAGTATTATAATTTCACAATTATGCTTAAATAATATTTCAAAAACTAAATATCTAAGTGAAGAAAATCACAGAAGTATTTAACTAAACTAAGCACAAATAACTGACTAATATTAATTACTTAATGACTAATATTAATATATTAAAATCTTAAAAACTAAGAAGAAACTACAAGCACAGGAGCACGCAATAAAATTACAAATTTAGAAGGAATGACAAATAATACAAAAATTTGAAGGGTTAAAAAAAAAACAAATAATTTGTTAAAAAGTACAAATACTTCACAAACAAAAAAGTCCTAAAAAAATAAAAT